AAGGAACTGGGTGAAGAACTTCAAAAGAGGGGAGAGTATTTAAACATATTTGCACACATTTGAAGGGCTGCTCAGCAACTCATCCTGCCAGGAAGAAGAAAATTTCCTTTGGCTCAAACTAAACTCCTTGCTCTTCAGAGGTACTAAACTATAAAGCTTTTGCTCTATGCTCATATTAACATGCAAAGCAACTCAAGATCATCCATACTGATGCCATCCTTAAGTGCTCTGCTCATCTAGAGGTGCACTTCACCCATCTGACAGCATGAACTCCAGCTCCCCTGAAATCTTTTCAGCTTGTTTAGAAGCATCCACCACAGGCATTGGCCTAAATTAAGAGTGCTGTTATGCACACATGAATGGTTTCGACCCACTTCTTGTCACATCGTCTTGACTACTCAGAGCTGTGAACTCTGTTTTATTACTAGCACCAGAACAAAAGCCTGTGTATATATATGAGGTCTTACAAATGCCCATTCACTGTACAGGCAAGCAGTGAAAAGAATTGTTCTATTATTTCCCATCATCATCCTTCTCTCACCATCCCACCAAGAAGACCCACTGAATGCCATTGCTATTGAGATACCTTTGACAGGCAGTATTTGGCTCCCATTCAGAGCAGGCACCACTGGGTGAGTTTGCTTAGCACCAGTGGGCACAAGCATGGAGAACTGAATGTCCTTCCAAGACAGACAAGAGAACTCTTAATATTCAAGTAAGCAAAAGCAGCTTAACGTAGGTTTTCCTCTAGACAATAACGAGCAGTTTCAAGACTCAGTTTTGCCTCCCTTAAATATGTTATACTGCAAAGCAGGAGGACTGCATCAACCACAGTCAAACATGAGGGCAGTTTCTCCTCCAAAGCATTTGTGCGTTTTGGCTCTCCAGCTTACTGGAGTGGTCAATAATTTGTGGGTACCAGGGAAAAAATAAGACCCATCTCACCACAACAAGCAGCAAGGTTGCTGTCCAGGACATTAAAGCATCCCTTACAGAGAGAGCACGTTTCATGATTCATCACTGTAAAAATAGTTCTCTACAGGACTCTAATGCAGCTTATAAAAAGGGTCAGCAATTGTAAGAAGTTAAGATTTGCAAGAGGACAGAAGAGAGGTTTTGCAGTTCATCCTGCAGGCACACACACTGCCCGAGACTACAGTATAAATGTGAAAATAAATTGATCTCATCCCACTGTTCCTAAATGACTGTGCTGTTCCGCTCTTTGAAGAGTGGCACGTAATTGCACAAAAGGCAACCTTTACAAGAATCTTTACAAATGTAAGCAAATTCAGGAGGTTTGCTTCTAGAATAAAGTTAAATAAGGCAAAGGTTATTGCACTCATCATGAAATTAGGACCCTTTTTCCATCTAAAACAAGCTGATGACCTGCTGAAGACTCAATTAACTCCAAGCCAGACTTAGATCTATAACAGAAAGCAAACTGCACCAAGTCACCACAAAGCCTGCCCTTTCAGCTAGACCCATCAATTATAGCAACTACTGATTTCAAACATTCTTTTAAAACATGATACAGACCAATGGACACAGAACTGCACATAACTGATCCAAAAATCTTTGTGCCTTATTCTTTCTTAGACACAACTTGGAAATGCTGCTCGAGTTTCACCTGCGCGTTTCCTACCCTTCACTGCGCAAAACTTGCAGCATTGGCCTGAACACAGGAAGTAGGCTGCTGTTTTGAAACTGAAGTTAAAACTGTGACAGACTTTGCAACTGTAACAGTCAACCCAAACACAGTGCTGTAACGAAAAACCTGACTGCAAACTTCAGTTTTCTCAGTGTGATGAAATACAAAGGTGGGAGGCATCCTCTGGAGTTTATGAGTTAGAAAGGGGAAGAAAAGACCACATCCTTTTCTTGCAGTCCTCCCTGCTCACATAATCCCTGAAATCCAGGGATTACAGCAAGAGAGTTGCCACATATAGTCCTTCGCACCCACACCCTCAAGTGGAAGAGCAGCCGAGCAACAACAGCAGTTCTGTGGGTGCACCCATCAGAAATAAGAGACCCAGAAGTACAAGTGTGGCCTCTCAGGGTGAGGATCTGCACTCGAATTATCTCATGCAGCTGCTGGGGTCACACAAAGGCAGTCTTAGTCCTGCCAGGACCCTCCTGGCTCTGCAAAGCCTTCTCTTCCCTTCTGCTGACACCTGCTTGTATGCAACTGTGCAAGGAGCCAGATGAAGGACCTCCCAGAGGTCCAGCCAGAAACCCATGTGTAAAACAGCACACACTGTTTAAAGGCAGGTGTAGAAAGGAGAAGAAAAACATCCCTTCCTGTTTTTCCTCTCCTGTGTACACTGAATGTCTTTCTAAACACTTATCGCAAAACCCTGACGTTTGGACTGTGCCTCTTCTACTCTGTGCGGGGTGAAATTTTCTCATTTCAACACCAGCCACTACTTCAGGAAACGTAAGTTCAAGTTCTTGCACCACTGTGTAGTCATGGATGACCCATTTACTTTCTGGTGGTTTTAATCCTCACCTGCAAAGGAAAGGGGTCTTCCCCACAGTGAGAAGATGCAACACCTTTCTACTTCCATAGAGTGTTGAGAGGATTAGTAAGAATGAAGCACACACAGACATATGCAAGATGTGGAAAGAGGAAATATCACTGAGAAATGCAATCCTAGACAGATAATTGAACTTCCTCCTACAAAACATTTCTCCTGTCAAATCTGCAGCCCTATGTTCAGGTTAGCAAGTGACCAATTCCCTTTCCACAGCTGGATCCTTCCACTGTCTGATGTTAAAATTAAACATCAAAACCCCAATTTACGTACTCTTTTAAGTAAATACAGAAGAGTTGCAGGCTCTTTGCAACATCATGTTAAGCAGCAAACCACACTGCCACTGAGCACATAAGGTCTGGCCAAACCAGAACAAACTTTAGACTAATCATTGAATTAAAGAAGCATTAAGCACATTTTTTCCCATTCAGAGTTGCATGTGTCTTGCTCTTCGATACGTGCTTTTTCCAAAAGCATCAGAAGGGTATCAGCTGTCAGTTGTGTCTAACATGCTTTTTTTGTGCACTTATGAAATGCAGATAGAGCCAAAGTTGTACAGCACAAAGATGTCAGAAACAAAAACGTCTCAGCAGAGATGCTGCAAAACTGAGCAGTGAAGCTTGCTCTCTTTAAAGCTCCCACAGTGTCAGAACAGTCTTAGAGTTGGCCATGTGTATGTAACACTGATAACTGCCTACAAAAAAAAAAAAAACAGTTTTATTCAAGAAAATCTTTGGTTTTGAAACTTTTATGGAGCCAAAGTTCTGTTGAAGAACATTACTAGTTAAACAGTTCCATTCTTTTTCTCACATATTAAACAAGAATATTTCTTCTATGTTTCCCCATTTTTAATTCTACTCTTATTTTCAGGTGATTTTCCTGTCCTTACTAATGTTATGAAGCGGGTTGTCAAAAAGAGTTGTTTCTCAGCATCCGGAGTACAGCAAAATGTAAAAACCAAGTGACTCCCCACCTCCATCCCAGCAACTGTCTGTCTCAAGCCTGGCTGTTCCACAGCATGACTGTCAGACAATCTGCCACTTCAGCAAAACACACTGACCAGAGCCACCACATAAGTCAGCTTGTAAAGAACCATGTGCAAGAAAGATTTCCCAACTGCAGCTGCCACACAGCTACTCACTTACCTAGTTGTTGTGCAGGGATGGTGTAGGGCTCAGTACAGCAAGACTCGAGACCTTTAAAAGCTCAAGGGTAAGCTGGAGTTCAGAGAAACTTCTTAATTTTGAAGAGAGAAAAGAGGTGCTAAGACAGAAAAAGGACGAAGAGAGTAAATAAAGGGGTGTAAGATCAGATGCAGAAAGGAAAAAGGAAGCAGGGAAGTATTTAGAGGATCTGATGAGATGACTCTCCCACCTCTACCTCTTCCTTTTGGGAAGCATCAGCATACCATTTGAGTTAACAATACTTTAATGCTGGAGGCAAAGTAGCAGCATTACTCTTGAGCATTTTGGACTCTGAAAAACAGAAGTGACACTTCACCTGCCAGAATGATCCCTGGCAAAACTCCACGGACATCAGTGGAACTACACCAAGCATGAAATCGGCCCACAGTTGCTTTAAGACAATAAAGGCTTTGTTTTAGGAGATATAGGGATCTTGTGGTTCTTTTTAATAAAGCCCAGCAAACAATTGTTTATTGTCCCCGAGCAAATATCGCTGGCAATAAGCAACCAGCTATCACATAGTACGTACTCTCTGTCCATATATTGCTAGGAAAACAACCATCAATAAAGTAAGAGATTCCTAGTGTTCTGTCCACAACACAGCGAGATTAAAGACAGTTTAAAACCCTCTCAAATTACCTAGAAGATCCCCAAGCAATTATTGCCATTTTTTTAACAACATTCTTCCTTTCTCCCACTTCTGTGCCAAGCCAAAGTTAAATATCCTCACTGGTGCCACAGGACTTAGTACATACACATATACGTACCACAATGCAAAACAGCAACGCTGCCAGCGTTACTCAACAGTACTCCCACCACAAGCTGCACACAGCTCACACAGAAGCATCTTCCCCTTGTTCTGCTGCATTTTTTTTGACTATGCAGAATTCTCCACAAAACCCAGAAAGTTCACAAGTTCCTGCCTTGCTCTTCAGTTTGCTACAAACATGCCCTGAACTTAACAGGACCAAGCTCTGCTCTGATGCCAGCCACGGCCATACTCTGCAGTCGCACAGTATTGATACATGCCAGAACTCATTAAGCTATGAAAAGAAATCCACTAGAAGAAGCAAACAAGTAGTTTTGATACACAGAGCTCCTGCACTGCATCCCTTTCCCTTATGAACCCCCTAAATGGGTTTATCCATGCAGTTACGCTGGCCAGACGCAATGCTTTCCAACCCAACACATAGGAAAACCTGGACATTTGGACTGCCTGAAGGGAAACTCTGACAGACTCGCACTGGGAAGGATGGGAGCACAGGGGGACAGCGCAAGTGCTCACCACACTCCCAGTGTTTACTGCTTCTAAAGATTTGTAAGGCAACATCCACTGTCTACATCAGAAGTTCGACTGCTCTGAACCCTCATTCTACAAGGCAGGACCTATAGGAAACAGAATATATCTATTTCTTATTTTCCACCTCTTCTTCCCATCCAACACCACACACCCCGGCTCCAACCCCCAAAGTCACCAGAGAATAAGTTTGCCCTCCGGGAAGCAGAAAGGCCCCGCCGGTTCCTCAGCCCCAGCCAACTCGGGGGGGGGGGGGGGGGGGGTTGGAGCGGGCTTCGGTGGCCCCCCGGCCGGCGGGACCTGTGACATCCTCGGTGCCCCGCACCCTTTCCGGGCTCCCTTCTACTTCGCTCCCCCCTTTCATTATTGCTCTTACAAAGCCACTATCAACTCGCAGGGTTTCCCTTCACGAATGAAGGCGCAGAGCCGGGGCTCTTCCGCCGGACCCCCACAGCCCGGGGGTGCCGCCGCGTCCCGCCCCGCAGCACCCCACAGCGTGAGGAGGGGGTACGGCGATGGGACACCGCCACCACCCGGACCCTCACCGGGAGCCGCCTTCCCTCCCCACCCCGCGGCTGTCCCGTCCCACCCCGCCAGCGCAGCGCCTTTGTGTGAGGAGACACAAAACCTACCTCGCCGGGGCGGCTCTCCCGTGGGGGGACGAGGGCAGGGGGACCCCGAGGCGAGAGCAGGGGAAGAGTGAGCCGGCGCTGCCCGCTCGGTCACTCACTGACTGAGTGTCCGCCAGCGCGGCCCCGCCACACGCGCGGAGCCGGCCCAGCCTCGCCTGAGGGGAGCGGCGGGGCGGGCCAGAGGCGGGCCCGCCGCTGAGTCACCGCCGACCGCCTCCTTTGTTGTCAGGCGTGGAGAGATCCGGGCTGGGGGTGAGGGGGGATGTGCGGAGCATAGAAGCATAGAACGGTTTGGGTTGGAAAGGACCTTAAGATCACCCAGTTCCAACCCTCCTGCCACGGGCAGGGACACCTTCCACTAGAGCAGGTTGCTCCAAGCCCCTGTGTCCAACCTGGCCTTGAACACTGCCAAGGATGGGGCAGCCACAGCTTCTCTGGGCACCCTGTGCCAGTGCCTCAGCACCCTTACAGTAAAGAACTTCCTTATATCTAATCTAAACTTCTTGTTTCAGTTTGAACTCATCACCCCTTGTCCCGTTACTACAGTCACTGATGAAGAGTCCCTCTCCAGCATCCTTGTAGCTCCCTTCAGACCCTGGAAGCTGCTCTGAGCTGGGGTGCCCACGGGTGCTTCTCAAATGCTGCTGGCCCGGCTCACCTGTAAGAGCCACCTCCTTCTTCATGGAGCAGGAATGCCTTCATTTAACCTTCCCTGAGTGGTTTCCTCTCCCTGTTCATGGTCTGGAGCCCTCTCCCTATGGGTATTTCCATCAGTCAACCTGTAAGAATTCAGGCTCCCACTCTGCAAGTGGACCCATCCAAGTAAAAGGACAAGAAATCACAGCCAGACAGCCAAAACATACCTCAGTATGCCCCAGAATCTCTTTGTAGTGAATACTACGGGATGGAGACATGATGGAGAGCCTGGGACCCAACATGACATGCATAGGCTTTGGGAATGAACCCAAAGAAAAGAAAGACCTTTGAGGATGAAGTATGTGTTTATACATTGGTGTACATACTTGGATTGAATTGATTTACCTAGTCTAGTGGAAGGTGTCCCTTCCCATGGCAGGTGGGTTGGAACTGCATGATCTTAAGGTCCTTTCTAACCCAAACCATTCTCTTATTTCTTCTGTATATTTATCACTAGGATTATGTTGTTATTCTTCAGAGCAGATGACTCAAATCACAGCAAAGTGACAACAGCAACTTGAGTCATACCAGGGATGGAAAGCTTCAGACTGATTTAAGCTCAGTAACTTGAGGAGCTGAGTAGCCAACATCACTTGCGCTGTAGAGACAGATCCTACCCTTCCCAAAACCCCCAGCCCCAGGAAGCCCCTGCAGGAAGGATATTGGGTGCTCAGCAGGTGGTGCTGTTTCCACCGAATCTGTCCTAAATAACCCGCTGCCCCAGCATGGTAAGGGAGCAGAGTGGGTCGGGAGAAATATGTTTTCTGTGACCATGTTATTTGGTCACAACTGCATTTTACTCATGACAAGGGCCGACATCTGGAGAGCTGGTATGTACTAAAAGACCGCTCAGGTCTTTGTGTGCAGCTGTTCTTTCATTAAGGAGAAAAAAGGTGAAACCTAAGAAATGGATGAAATCCAGAGCATGGGTGGCCACTGTCAGTTCTGGTTCAATCTGAGTCTTGCCAAACAGCAACATCATCAATCAGAGCTCTCTGTGAACAAATGAAATGTTATAAAATGCTAAATGCTCCTCAAAAAGTCACTTGTAGTATACCAAGGTGGACACCCATTTGTGTTGTACAAGTTCGCAGTGCCAGCGCTGGTTATGGGCAGCCCCATTCCCCAGGTGCCCCTTCCTTCACAAGAGTGTTGTGAGATATAGTTGTTCTGTATTGTGAAGCCCATGGATACTGTATGGAACAAAACCTAATAAAAATTGATTTTTTTTTTTTTTATTAAACGCAATAAAATGATGTGTTTAGGTGAATGAGAGGGTATCAGCATTGAATAGTTCCCTGCTCTGTGAGCAATGCTCCATCTGAAGCACGGGAGGGAGGAATGATGTATGACCAAGGAATTGCAAACAGCAAAGAAAGAAAATGAGCTGCAAGGCCAGCTGGAGTGCTGAATTTCCCTATCTTTTGCATTCTTGACCTTACAACCTCTCCATATCATTTCTGTATGTAAGCATTAACCATTTGTATTCTAAAGATGCTTTGTAGTCCTGACCATGTTTTTATCTCTGCCCCCTTAGACACTGCACAGGCAGTTGTCCCTGCTCCGCAATCTGACACGTCACACCAGTGTTTCCCAACCTTTTCTCAGCTCAGACAGCTATTTTGCTGTGATATGTACCTTTTCCCCAACAGATCCTGCACATCCACACCTTTAAATGGAATGTAACACTTCACTGAAGCTACCAAAAATCTCTAGGTGTCTTGCCACAGCTTGTCAAAGGAGCATAGGCATTTTTCATGGTGATAGCTGCTTTGTTCCAGTGTTATATTCAGTTTGAGTGTGTGGTTATGTGGTTGGCCATACTGGATGCAGATATAGCAAAGTCCCTCCCATACATACTATTAACTTGTGCTCCATGAAATGACTGTGAAGCTGTGCAGACTCTAAGCTACTGTGGCTGTATACAGACTTGAAAACTATTGCTGGACATAAGCAATGAAGAAAAAGGTTTGGAAGAGGCAGAAAGTTGAAAGGACTCACCAAGAACACATCTGAGGATCAGCGATGGCTGAGATCAACCTGCTTGTTACCATAGCGTCTGAATTCCTCACTCAGTGCCTCATACAAGACAGTGCTTAAATGACAGGTTTGAGTCAAACATCTCACAAGTAATTTAAGCGATAGCTTGTCTCGTCAGGCTGCCTGGTTTTGGTGCAGGAGCTCCCACTCACTGGGGAGACAGTCCAGCACAGCTCCAGTCCAAAGGTGAGGAATTTGACCACTGCCTCATATGAGGTGTGATGGGGAGTCAGTATTGTCTCCTATCTGTGAGCCACTCAGGTTCCTGATATTCACATTCCTTCTTTAAGGCACATCGTATGCTCCTCATGCCTCTTGACCACATGAAAATTACAGTGTTTGGTTCATGTGATAAAGAAATTTGGTCACAGTTGCATTTTACTTATGACAAGCCTGCTTCCTCCAGCACTCTGGGTACTGAAACTCCAGAAAGCACTCAAGAAGGATTCAGGGATCTTTCTAGATGAAAAGTACTATATAAAATTAAAACATTACCTTTTTATGTAATGAATAATGAATAATAATGAAAAGCAGTGTATTGGAATCCAAAATATGAATCAACTGGCTGCACTTCAGAACAACTCTCAGGCAGAATTATGCACTGGAAACACTTAACAAGAGAAATCCCTTTTTTATTTACATTATAGCCAAAACTATATAGTCATTCTGTTGTATAAGTGTCATGGGACATATGTAGTACATACTTTGGCATTTTGGTATCTTATGAATCAAGTATTATGTATTTTAATTGCAGGTCGGTGTTTGTAATTCTTTTCTGTCAAACTACAGAGTTAAAAGCAAAATCATTCTGTAATTACTTGAGTTGTCTTCTTTGTGGAGTCGGGAATTGCATTTTACTCCACCATACCTGGCCTTTGAGTCTTACCATAATGTAACTTTAAATAATAATAATAGTAACAATTTTACTGCGGCAGAAACAAAGTGAAGTACAGAGTCAGATGCTGTGGGATTCCCCTTGCTTAATTTCAGCTGTCTGAAAGCAGACGTCTCCTCTAAGCAGGTCATGTAGGCTGGGGAGAGGGAGGTATCTCCAGAGGGATCATGCCTCCTACCTTAGGTGTCTGGATTAGAACTGGATTAATTGCTTCTGGAAGTGCTTCTGTTGGTTATACGAGGAAGCAGCCCGACAAGCATCCACTAGATGCCTTCCTCAGAAATTCTTTAGCTGTGTGTAATTCCTCTACCCAAAGTGGCAAAATGCTGCCCAGTTACCAATAAAGGAGAGATGGATGCTGCCTGTATTTTTATTCCACTTAACATGGAGAAGCACTGACTTACATCATAGCAGAATGTGGTTCTCTTTATTTCCATGTAGCCACTTCAAATGTTTTTGGGGTTGTTTTCTAGATCTTTAATTTAATCAAAGTAAATCAACTGGAATGCAGATTGTTATGAAGGTTTCTCCATACCATCTTTCTGCCAAAACATCAATTAAGTATCTGGAGAAACATCTGCTGTGCACGTAGACGTATAAATATATATAGGAGCTGAACAATATGACCTCCAAGTTTGCAGGGTTTTCTTTACACAAAGCCAGGGGCATAAAAAGGGATTTCCTCCAAGTTTTCCTGTTCATTAATAATGAAGATCAGGATGCCACCTTTGTTTCCTCCACTTCTGACCATACAGTGAAAGGAAATGGTTCTGGATCGAATCACAAAGAGCAGTGTTAAATACAGACTACACTCCACTTTGGCACTCAGAAGTTTAATTATCCAGCATGATGCATCTTTATGGAAGAAGGAGACAGATAAATCCCACATCTTAATAGCTGGCTCCCTGTGGCTGACCTTTGGCTCAAATATTCCATATTGTGATTAATGTTGCACAGTTGGATCCAAAACATGCTCATTCCCCAGGCTGCAGGAAAAAATAAGGGCTTTAATTTATCTTCCAAAAGTAGAATTTCATTTGATCACTCTTTTAGAGACTGATATTTACCACTGGCTGTAGGTTGGCCTCTGAAGAGCTGTTACCTGCTTCCTGAGTTAGGACTCTTAAGACCCAGCTTCTCATATCCCCTTCACTACTGTCTTGCTGGGCAGCCTGAAGTAAGGAATTTTGCCTCAGTTTCTGATCTAGTAGAACAACAAAATACCTGTGCCTTACTGATGCAGTTTGAAATTTGCAGATAGAAGACACTAACCAATGTTCATATTTAGACAAAATTGGATATTGACCTCTATAATCTAGAGGTCTCACAAGATTAGGTCAGAAAATCATAGGTGCTGTGCTTAGATCATGGTTTTCTGGTCACCTTCACCTGTAAGATTTCTTTTCTTATATAACATAGATTACGTTTTCCTTCTTATGCCATTGTAGTAATCTTACATCATTCTAATAATATAAGATGTATCAGTGGACCTGCCATAAATAAGCAGACATCAGGATTTCTGAGACTATTTTTCAGTTTGACCCTGAAAGA